GGGAGAATATCAGTTTTCGTCCAAAGGTAAACTCTTTCCAGATTTTCCCATTTCTTATTTTCAACAGCTGAGGTTTTTGCAGAGAACTACTATCTGAATGACGGTATCGAAATTGCTGACTGTAGTTATCGAATAGAGAAAACCAAGGTGAGCTTCGAATTGAATATTCCCCTCTAGTGATTCATCACGTTGCAAATTTAGCCTGGAATCTCTAGTGATTCATCCACGTTGCAAATTTTAGTCTGAAAAACTTCTGACATGGAAGGATGATTCCATATCGAAATTCTTCCAGGGGTATGGATCCTTGGAGTTGGGGGAACAGGAGAAGGCATGAAGTTGTGATCAATTAAAGGAAGGGATATGGGATGTAAATAGGAATAGGGATAAAGGAAGGGACACGCCAAATACCGTGCCACGTAACCATAGGGTTCTCTTGACCTCCTGCTTTGTTACCTCCTAATGATAAGTGAGGAAATTTTTGGCCTTAACACTACCAAAATAGCGAAAAATTGCTATAAACCGGAATACTATATAAATTGCTTCCGTATCATTCTTGAGAACAGGCAAAATTGCTTTTCATGCAGAACTGTCACATAAAAAATGCCGTACATGCAGGGGGGGGATGAGTAAAAAACGAAGACAACGAAGACCTTTTGTTCATGCACATCAGCGATTTTTCGTCTGCAGTGACCGAGAGAATGACAACAGTACACTCCTGAAATGTACATAAGTACAAGCAGGCCCTCCTTCACTGCCTCACCGTCTTCAGAATATGACGTCATCTGCCATCGAGCTCAAAGGGGCCTACCGTAATCGCTCCGGCCTGAAGCTGTTACATAATTTCTTCAATCGATTCACTGGTGGATAGTTTCTAAAGACATTAGCTCTGACTATACTTGCCTTGCCCCCTCCCAACCAGCATTTCCGAAAACGTGATGGTCTACGACCCGACGTGGACCCCGTTGAGCTCGGCTCGTGCGACATATTCCGGGCGGATTCTTCTGATATCGTCCACATAGAAAGCTATCATAAAGTTTTTTTTTACAAATTGAAATGAGTTATTCAGTTTTCAATCTTGAGTATTTTGTTTGAATTCAGAAAAAGTGTGATCAATTCCGTTCCAGATGTAGAGGCAAAGTTTTAACGCCGCTCCACCCCTCCCCCCATCCTTTGTACGTACTCTATTTCAGAAGACGAGAAAAGCGTAGAGTGCGGACCACACACCGCAGGTGACGAAGGCCAAGAAAAAAGTGGTCTTTTTTCTTTGCCGTGGTCACTTGTGGTATGTGGTCTGCACTCGAATGGGCGAAACCGGATGTGGTGGAAGTGGTCCTTGAAATTTACCGGCGCACTGAACAATCCTGGACTATCTTAGGAATTTAGCAGTTTTGAAAATCAAAGCTATTTGTCCCGTGACAAATGTTCCAATCAAATGGTGGATTCCGTTAACATAGAGTAGGTGATCTTGGAGCTCGAGTTCTCGCCCCGACTTACCTATCCAAAATTTTGTTCATTCATTGAATAACGAATGCGTGAAATCCTTGTGAATGCGCTTGTTCCAGGGATTTCTGTACTCACCTTCCTACCCGTACTACTATCAATCTTTCATGAACTGCACCTATATTTTACCTCAGCGAAAAGGACATCGCATTGTTTTGTCGTCAGGAGAGATCTCCTTAGGAAGGGAGGCAACAATCGACATCTTCGAGAACACGAATGGGGTATGATCGTTATAAGTTTTTTGTATTTGCTGAATTCTTACTTAATTTTTATCACTATTTAAGTTTTGATGTTTTGCATTGTGTGAACGTTTGTTTTTGGCCTATACTGAACCTTATTTGGCGCTATCGCAATTTATACGGGGTATCCTCTGCAACTAAGCCTAGGGGGAGGAGCTCCGGGGAAAATGAAAAATGCTCACGCATTTGGATTCTCCTCCCCGCCTAAGGCTTAGTCCCGTTTAAAAAACATGTTCTACTGGTTTCAAATGAATTACCACCGCAGTGCCCCCTTATTGTGATAGCACCCCTTATTTAGTTTGTTAACCTATTATTAAGCTGAATCCAAAATAAAATTCAAAGAGCGGTGGTGGCGTTGCTTACCACGCACGCGGTGCGGGGATCGAATTCTGGGTCTGTGTGTCATTCGGTCAAAACCCACGAGTCGATATCCCATGAGGCCACCAAGCCTTCCATCCCTCCGGGGTCGGTTAATGGGGTACCAGACTTGTCTGGGAGGATAAAAACACTGACTTGAACATCGGCTGGCCCCCGCAAGTCATTGTATAGGCCACATCGCATTCAAATGCCACTACGAATGTACAAATGGAAGTAGAATGCGTGCCGCATCCCAAAACGGCTCTGATCAATAACGAATGCTCTGTCCTTCATTTAAATGTCGCTCTACATTTCCGTTGCATGCATACCCCAGGGGATGGAGAACACTAAATTTCGAAGTTCCTCGTGACTGAGAGCATCTGCTAATCAGTGAAAATGTCCTCGCCTAATACGAGTTGGCGTGCATCGTAAAACGTGAAGTGAAAGGCTTTGACAACAAGCATCGAAAGGAAAAATTCAAATAATCCAAAACCAGGAAGTTCAATAAGAAAATGGATGATGTGCTCGCTAGTTTTGCATATACCGAGGAACAAAACAGTGATCCGACTCTCTAGATTTGGGCACTCTATATCATTTTATAGGATTTCTGGTCTTTTCCCCGCCTCCATCTGAGCTAAATAGTTTATAATTGTTTCCTGGGTGACAGTTGAGCGTGATAAGCGACAAAAAATCCTAGATCGAATTTTATTGTGGCTACTGGTAAGCCCGAATTCGCCTGGCTTCGGTTTAGGGGTATCAGACACATCTTAAACGAGAAAACACTTAAAGGCTTGCCCCACGATCAAACTAGAAAGCACACGAATACGAATGTATTGACGAAATATGGACTGACAATAAAAAAAAAGAAAAAGAATCCGTCAAACGCTTAGGATTAAGGGCTTGCTCACCTTCCGTAATGTGGGCGTGCTAAGGCAATGAGAGACTGAGCGCAGAGAGGAGAGTATGAGGCGAGAGAGCGCAACAGATGAGAGGGCGCCAGACAACAGCTGCTGCGGAAAACATTGCAGCTGCTGCAGCTAACTTTGCAAGGCCCTAGCGCCCTTGTCGAGTGATTTCCACGCACGTGAGTGCCCATCTGTGATGGCCCTCCAGGGTTTTTTTGCAGGACGAGGGAACCGCAACGACTTCTGCTTGATTTTTTAACACATTCACGACGACGCCCCTTTTCCACTTTTCGGTCGCGTGGGACGGACGCGATTTTGTGGGCGCCGCCGCCTCACCACATAACCGCAGATTTTGTTTTGTAAATGAACAAAAACATGAATGTCACAAAATAATTTCTGCAATGTCCAATGCGTAAAGATATATAACAGTAGGATTTCGATCAGAACGACAAATAGTGGTTACGAAAAGAGAGCATTTATTCACTTTCCCCGTGAAGGAATTTAAAAGCATTTTACACTCGATTACGAGGTTTGCCCACCTATCTGTCCATTCCTAGCGCCTGGCAAGCGATTATCAGTTGGCAGCCCATATGGGCTGCCATCGTCCCAGGAGCGCATGTTGTTGGCAGCCCATATGGGCGGCCATCGGCGTGAATGGTGTTATGTAAAGGAGTCTGCGCATTGTCGCCACTCATAGGGTTTTTGAGTTATTAACCAAAAAGTGCAATTTTTGTCCTTTTCCCTATTATTGTAAAGGTGAGCCTCAAACCAGCGATTTATGGGTGAGATGATATGACGATTTTTCTTCCCATGGACGATCCTTTCCAGGACACTTCATGGTCTTAGTTAGCAATCTATGGTCTTCGGGAGAAGCTTGAGAAACGGCATTCTTTGCGCCAGAAAAGATGGAACGTTTAGGATTAGAAACGCGCTTTGGTTGCGTTTTCGGGCTCATATCTTGTCATGAGCAGAATGATGCAGCGGGTTTTGAAATTGCAGCGAGTAAGCTCCTTCTAGCAGTTACTGCTGATGCAACTCGCGGGAGGGACAGAAGGAGCTCGGCTGTATTTCACCATAAATTTTGGTTTGGTGGCTGAGATCGCGTGTGTGCACAATAAGCAATATTTGTTTCACGGACGATTGCAGAGGGATTCCTTCATGGGGGTTCATTTCCTTTTCGATATTCTTAGCTATACTTTGCCAGGCTCGTCACTGGTACGGAACAAGCGACATTACTAGTACTCAGTGAGCGAAAGTTGTCTGGACCACCATTTTCGGCCGTACCACTGTGTCCTTTCATAAAACCTTTGCAGCTATTTACATCAAGAAATGACTGTTTCTGCAAAAGGTATTCTGAAAAAAAAAATAAAATCGCTCAATTTCGCCCACTCCAGCGATCAGTTTACAGCGATCGGTAAATTGTGATTGAGACACAACCCAGGGTAAGAAGCTATCTCAACTCAACAAGAAGCCATGGCCGATGTCAGACTTTGCGAATCGCGCGATTCGCTAGCGTCTGCGGTCGCGTCGCGGCCAGTGAATCACTCAATTGGCTGGTACCGCAACGCGACCGCGGACGCTAGCGAATCGCGCGATTCGCAAAGTCTGACATCGGCCTAAGGGTTGACGCCCTAAGTCCGAATCAAAGAACCTGTATCGGTTATACATCCTTAGACCCCAATTGAAGATCGGCTGTAGTGGGCTAAACATTGGTGCAGCAAGGAGAAAACGGTGAGATCTGAGTTGGACACGAGTAAGGTGCCTGACGCATATGTGGGCCCCTGAGCCAAAGGTTACGTCATCAAGATCGCCCTATCGAAGGAAGAAAGAAGGAGTTGGAAGATGAATGTGATTTGCCATAAGAAGTGGGTGCAACTATGCGAGTGCAAAAGTCAAAAGTTGTAGTTGCTAACGTTTCTGGGTTGTTTTCGAGATATTCTGGTAGAGCGAGATAGGCAGGAGCGTGTGGTCCTTTGTCGAGCAATTTAAACCGTTTTTCAGCATTCAAAACTCCTGTCGGTGTCATCGATGCAGCACACCCTTTACGCATCGTCGGCCTCGTCTCTTCTGCTACACTTTCAAGCCGGGAACAACAACGACAAGGTAATCAAAGATGATTTTTAAAACTGATCTCTAATTCTTAGAATTAAAAATTGGTTTGATTGCGCCCTATGTGCAGAGATTGAAGCCGTGGAAGAAAAAATAATGCAAGCTCCTGGCTGGTTCTTCGGCATTCTCATTGAAAACCTAGGCCAAGTGCCAGTGCCCGGATCATGCCTCCGGACCCTTAATATTTCATATTTTATATATGCATATATAATAAAGCGCTAAAAGGCGGAAGTAGTGTTGTGGCAAATGGCGCTGCTTACCGCGCGCACGGTCCGAGGATGAAATTCATGGTCGTGTGTCGTTCGTCGTCTTCAATGAAGTGATGTGGCGATAAGTTCCCAAGGCAGTGAAGCATCAGATGGGAGTGATGTGATCAAGTAGTAAAATCTGCAGTTACCCTTTGTTGAAGTACAAGATGGGCCTCAAACATCCATATGCAGTGGCCCTGCCCAGTAACCATAAGATTTTCATCGTATTTCAGGCGATTTTACCCGCTGCTAGTGCACTCCGTTATAATCCCAAATGCCTTCGGGGGTCTTTGGAAGTCATTAATCTTAGACTGGCGAATGTCTGGACGATGGCATACTCGGGGAAAAGCCGCTCACTTCTCACTTGCCATTATGAAAGGGAACACAGATTTCTCGCAAGATAGTATCAATTCAAACGAATGAAATCATCAATGGTAGACGATTTTCCAAGTGTCACCCGACTGTAATTGTATTTATTCGTGAACTGCTTCACACCACTTGTTCAGAACTATGGAATACATAATATGCCCTATTGGGTCCATGGGACCCAATTTTTTGTCGTCTGTATAGCTGAGAGTGTGCGAGGCAATTCG